ACATCAAGGAGATTGGGCTTCGGAAGAAAGAGATGATATGGAGGCACTCGCACGAACTCTCATTATCCTCAACGCATTTCCTCTCGTCCTCCAGGGCAGATACATCTACGCCGACGTCGAATTTTGCACCAACGAATGTCTCGACTACAAGCAAGGTGGGTTGCTTCATTTTCAAATACATGTTTCGCGTTGGTCTCGTCTTCATTTCCTGAATGCATGGGATTTTCTGTAAACTTCATGATGATATTCGTTTTACGTTCCATAGTTATCCTTCTTGCGACTTCCTAGTCCACATGAAAAGCAGGAAAATGGTGAAAACCCAGCAGGCAACTTCCAAAAATATTAATGTAACATCGGCATGCTATAATAATGGCTTCCTCATTCACCCGGCTTCATGATTTATGAAAAATAAATAGCTACGTTCTGTTCATGTTTCTATACCCTACATGAGCATAGTATTCTACTACTGAGTGCTTTCAGGGCGGTAAAGCAGATTATTATCCCGAAGTAACAGAGTTACATCTGTGCGGCAAGATTTTATCTGTATGTTCCAAACGAAGCATCAAGTCTCTGGACAGTTATGATTTGTGCGATTCGTCAGGACGCACCATCGATTTAATCCTAAAGAAACAGATTTACATTAGGAGAAGGTATTGCACATACTGACAATTTAAATGTTGAATGATCGTATTAAAAGTGAAGTTGATTTGTGCCGTGTGTAGTTCAGTGGGCCCGAACGGGTGATGGCGTGAGAGTCCACGGACCCTCCTCGGATCAATCGAGGCGTGTGAGCCATTCTCAGCTTTACGGGATTGATCTCTAAGCCATTACCAGTAGTGCATAGGAAGTATGGGGAGATATACACACTTTAAAACCAATAGTTTCGTTTCCCGAGAAACATCTGGTCTGGCAACCACGATTGTTCAAAATTTCTCGAATTTGTTCAGAATTTTGGAAGGTTTGGAGATGCGGTCGTGGACCTTATTTCAATGTAGCCCGTCTCTTGAGAACCAGACCTCGAGGTACTTGAATTTTTACATCTGTACCAATGGGACCCCACTGTTGAAAGTGTATAGACATTGTCTCAAGAAGACCATGATATATGTTCAAGAAAGACTTAGTTTCCGGTCGCTGTTCATTCGGATTGGAATGGATCAAGCACTCTATGGCGCTACTGCAGAGAACAGGTGAAAAAGACAGCATTCCCAGGAAAAAGTGTACCCCGACCCTGACATCATATATGTAAAAAAAAAATGTTTTCTGGGACCATGCGTCCTGATGGCAGGACGCATTTTTTGACAAAAAAAATACGCGTGGTCCCACGCGGCGGACAAGCAAAAATAGGCTGGTCGTCAACGTGTTAAAAACCAAGAGTTTCGCTTCCCGAGAAACTTCCGGTCTTACAACCGCGGATGGTCAAAGTTCTCATAGAATTGCCAAAGCCCTGGAAATGCAGTCTCCGACCTTGTTTCAATGTCTCCCGTCTCTTGAGAACCAGACCTCGAAGTAATTGAACTTTTTCACCTGTTCCAATGGAATCCTAAATATTTAGAGGGTTCACTGTTGAGGATTTCTCTAGAAGGCCATGATTAGTGGCGAGGGGAGGCTCAGTTTCATTCCGGGCGCAGTGCATTCGCTATCGAAACGATGAAGCTCTGTCTGGAGAGCCTTCCTGGAACGGGTCAAAAAAGGACGGCATCCGCGTCAAAACGGCAAAAAATATCCGTCATTTAAGCTGCTCTACTTATGATGAGACTTGCTCAGCCTCACAGAATTCAAGAAACTGGCTCGCTTTCGTGCTTGTCCTTCCTTTCGCTTTCCTAGGAACTTTGTCTAGTATTCTTGACTAGTTTTTTTTTAAGTGAACGTATTTTTCATCAGTCGGAGCATCTGAAGGCAAATTTGTCAAGTCCAACATACGTTTTCATTATACAATGGGGAAATCAATTTTATCAGAAAAAATCACACATCGGCAATCCGCCATCAACTTGAATTTCAAGTGGGGGGATGACATCAGATTAAAACCCACCCGCGTCCCCCACGCAAAAGTATGCAGTGCACTGCAAAGGTTTGAAAGGGTGACCTATATATATACGGGAGGCATGGGGCCACAAAAAGCTAAATCTCTGCTACGTACATCAAGGAGATTGGGCTTCGGAAGAAAGAGATGATATGGAGGCACTCGCACGAACTCTCATTATCCTCAACGCATTTCCTCTCGTCCTCCAGGGCAGATACATCTACGCCGACGTCGAATTTTGCGCCAACGAATGTCTCGACTACAAGCAAGGTGGGTTCCTTCATTTTCAAATACATGTTTCGCGTCGGTCTCGTCTTCATTTCCTGAATGCATGGGATTTTCTGTAAACTTCATGATGATATTCCTTTTACGTTCCATAGTTAGCATTCGGGAAAATACAGGGTGTCGATAAAAGAATGCAACAGTTTCCAAATTTAATACCGCGATAAGTAACGGATGAAACGCAGTGATCTTTGCATCGAAATGAAGGGGAAGACTGGGAGTTTGTTTATATCCCGTTATAGATGTCGTTAGCAGCTCGAAATGCGCGCGCAAGGGAATTTCCTAATTGGCGCCTATTTTGGCGCGCGCCTCGCCCCCATCAGTACAATGGCCACAGTTCAGCAGAAGGCTGAATTGATCATTGATGCCAAAGTCATATGCAGCCATCTCTGTCGTCGATGCATGTTGGGTTTTTTAAATACTTGTATACAAGATGATATGCGTTTCACCCTCTAAGATGCCATGAATCCATGATTTGATTCCATCCGTAAATAGGAAATATTCCTCAACGCTACACTCTTATAAATCGGTATCTAAAAAAAAATCAGGAAATTTAAAAATATCGAATTTATAGGATGCTGAGCATTGAACCGTGATGAAATTTGCTCATCCTCAGCATTTTCGGCTTGCACAGATGGGCGTTCCACGGCACCGGAAAATTGAGGGAGTGAGATCTCAACGTGTCGTAGGTTTTCGGTAATCATACAAGTAAAAGTTCCCCTTGACGCATGAAACAGTTGGAGCGAAATTTGCGAATGATTAATTTCGTTCCCATGTAGAATTTCGCACACGAAAGAAAGTGGAAAAATGCTAGATCCTTGCTTGCTATTAGGGTCGTAAATGATTTTTTTTTTATTGGTGGGGGGGGGGGGGGCAAGGCAAGAGATTGGCGAATAAATCAATCAAAATATGTGAAGGAAAAAATACGATGCGCAGTGAAAATACGGTCGTAAAAAGGTAGAATGGAAAAGTTTCTGGCAATACCCAGAATGTAGAACTCCCATGAAGTGTTAGCTTCACCCTCAACAGAAAGGAAAAATGGCTGCAGGAATCTTCAGTTCCCGTAGACGCGAGAAGAGGAACACTGGGCAATCGGATTCCGATCGATATTCACGTATGAAAAGGTTGAGGCTTTGTCTCCTCTTGGACTGGCAATTTCGATATGGCCGCAATCGATGGCTTCAATAGCCTCCAGGAAACTCTCCTATCGCCGTGAACTCACTCTTCAATCTTCGACATTTATCAGCTGAAACAGAGGTAATCAATATTGGCACTAGCGCGCATAGACGAAGACTTTGGTCAGTGGTCATGACATTTTGGCATTGTTAACTTCTCCTCAGAGCGACTCACAGAGCTTATTACGCCAGTCAGTATGCATGAACCTCACGAATAATAATGCATGCTGCTCCAGCACTGATCTCGTTGCGATCGCCGATGTCTTTGTGGAAAGAATTCGTCGCGTAGAGCGAAGAGCACTTGCAGAATTGGAGGCACTCCAGTAGTGTTGTCATTTGCCGAGGTCTGATTACCTTCCAACAACAAATCAAGGCGAAACAAAACGTTTTCTTTGTGAAACGGAATCGTTCTCTAAATGCAGTGTCATTAAAAGTCTCGATGGGATTAGATGCAGCGGACATGTGTTCTCATAGCAATAAATGTGCGGCGATTTAAAAAAAAATTATAATTCCAATCTTCGACTCATTTACAATTTCCGGGTAACTTCCATACAAACCAGACACATATGTGTGCTTCACCGCGAACTTCGAATGGAAACTCAAACGAATAATGTATACGTCATTCGCATTTGCTAGTTTTATCCTTCTTGCGACTTCTTAGTCCACATGAAAAGCAGGAAAATGGTGAAAACCCAGCAGGCAACTTCCAAAAATATTAATGTAACATCGGCATGCTATAATAATGGCTTCCTCATTCACCCGGCTTCATGATTTATGAAAAAGAAATAGCTACGTTCTGTTCATGTTTCTATAACCTACATGAGCATAGTATTTTACTACTGAGTGCTTTCAGGGCGGTAAAGCAGATTATTATCCCGAAGTAACAGAGTTACATCTGTGCGGCAAGATTTTATCTGTATGTTCCAAACGAAGCATCAAGTCTCTGGACAGTTATGATTTGTGTAGGCTTTATTTTTCTTGGGAACTTCCCTGGGGACCCATATCATCAACTCGATGGGGGAAATTGTGAAGAACGAGTGAACCCTCCGGACATCACCGCAGCGTCAACTTGTCTGAATGGCTGGCAACGGAACGACGGAGCTGGGAGTAAAATATGAAATTCATAAAAAAATGAAATTCACGTTTCGTTCTTAATCCCTGACTCGCAATAACACTCCAGATTTTCGACGAAAGTAGAATCATAAATAAATCAAAATGAGGGATGTAACGGCAATTCGTGGGTAATTCATGTTTTGACTACTCAATCAAAATCCGAGCGTTCTGACGTCTTCCAGGAAGGCAATGAAAATGATGAAATGATGAAAAAACGCATGGTATTTCCGAGGATGCCATGGCCGGAAAGCAGAATATCGTCTTTCTGAGTACTTTAATCACGAATCACACGTCTAGGCAGGAGGGAGGAGGCACGAAGGGGAAGCCGGATCGCAGTTCTCGTATTCCTTTAGGCGGGGATTCTCCAGGTCGCCGCGGTCGTCCGCGCCGGCGTATCGGTGGGTGGGCGTCCCGGTGTCCCTCACGCACACGCATCGCGTGCCTCCTCCGGGCGTGTCCACCTTCCGTGGGACTCCCGCCCAGTCTCGAACGATGCCTCCGCTGTGAAATGAGTATTTCGGTTCAATGTTTTTGTGAGGGAGTCCATGCGAAACTTTTTAGGCTTTTTAACTGCAAAACACGAGTGACCTCGATCGTGGAACGTCGCAAATCATTGAGTCAAATATACTAAAGATATTATATGAGAAATGGAATCATTCTAGGAAAGTGTCTAGTGAATAATTAGTGAGGTAGTGCGGGAACTTTCTTTCAGCGTGTAAAAATAATGACACAAAGGTTCAGCGGGAGGTCTGTAGGGGAAACAGTATTTAGGGAGAGACAAATGAAAAATGTGAGAACAATTAAATGGAAATCATGAAACAATTTCCGTCGTTCCTGAATTAGTTTGACGCTGTCACCGACGAAACTGCTGTGCTTCGACTCATGGCGATTGGCCGTTCACTGAAAAGATATAAGTTTCGGGATGAACCATGTCACTTGCAAGTGGTGACTTCCTCAGAATGGTCACAACCATGCATTGAAAAAAAAGAAGATAAGGTGCCTGAATTCTATTATTACGAGTTCCTTCTATTCTATTATTTTCTATTATTCAAAATAATTATATTATTTTGAGTTCCCCTCAAAAGCATCGACACGAGCCAACATTGAACGTGGAAAGCATCTGAAAGCTCAAGTATACTTCCTCTGGGCGCACCATACCCGGGGCGGCTGCCCCTGCTTCCACTCGGAGTGACACGGGGGGAAGGCTCGCGCGTCCTGCAGCTCCTCCGCTGCTTTCGCCTCTCGAATCCACCGCTCCACCTGCTTCCCGTAAGCGGTCATCTTCCCCCTCTCGTCGAAGTACCTGCCCATCACCTTTCCTGTGCGTGCGAGAAAGTTGCGATCATGCAATATTCGGTGTTGGTGGTTCATAAGCAATTAAATGAAACGAGGCAATTGGTACCTCATAAATGCACGTGTCGTCCTATCTTATGGCATCATTGCGACTGGTATCACACTGTCCTCGTGATCTCTCACAGGTTAAAATCTAATCTAATATATTGACGATCGTGAGTGACAGATTCACGCCAATTTTAACCATGTTCTTGAAAGGTTAGAAATCTGAAACTTGGTACATATATACCTTTTGGGATGCAGAGTTCAGAAAATATCCGACTGTGGAGGTACATCAGGTGGGGGTTCACATTTTGGGGGAAGGTTTTTTGTAATAAATACATATTGTGACGTATGAGGATGGGATTCAGAGGGCCCAATATATGTCTCTGGTTCGGTGGTGTAGTTGTAGCGCATCTGACCGACGATCAGGATGTCCGGGTTCAATTCCCAGTCGTTCTATGGCTTCTTATTGGCTTCCATCTCCAGTTACTCATTCCCGTCCATTACATTATTCTTGCCTGAGTAAAAGGGAGAGACATAGAAAGCTGAAACCTGGCATGGACTTGCCAACCGAGACGATGAGTTCAGGAAAAATCCAAAATTTTAGATTCATGCCCTGGGGGGATATTTTTTTGGGGCTGACGTTTTCAAGTATTTTTTTTGTCATCCTGGCGTATTGAGCCTGTGTGGAAAGATGAACTTGATACATAACTACCTATTGGGATGTAGCAGAACAATTCAGACTTTGGAAGTAAATGGCCTGGGGGCACAAATTTCAAAGGGAGATGTTTTCAACTATTTTTTTGCATCAGTTAAACTGATGAACATGGAAAGATGAAACTTTGCATGAATGTGACTACTTAGACAAGGAGTTAAAAAAAAAGTTAAGTCTTGATACATACCCTGGGGGAATTTTTTCGAGCGGCGATGTTTTAAAGAAAAATATTGTCGTGGCGAATTGGACAGAAATGGAAAGGTGAAACTTGGCACACGTATAAGTGACATAACATTATTGAGTTGAGAGAGTATTCAGCTTTCATGGTGCATCCCCTCCGGGCATAGCTTTTGCGTGGGTCTGCTATTCCAAACATGTTTTTTCACCAGCAAAAAGGGATTTCGGTAAATAAAGAAATTTACTTTTCGGTTAAAACGGCACAGTGCACATATTTTGCAAAAGGCGTGTTTTCCCGATTTTTCTGATCCAGCAAAACGGGGGGTGCTAGAAAGTTTAAACTTGGCAAAGAAGTACCTAATGGATAGCTGAGTATAGAAAAAATTCTACTTTTATATCATCGTGTACCCATGTACCTATTGGGATGCAGAGTTCAGAAAATATCCGACTCCGAGGCACATGTCCTGGGGGCAACCATTTTGGGGGAGATGTTTTCAGTGATATGTATTGCTAATCTAATCTAACATGAAATCTAATCTAATATCTAATACTGTCATTGAAAGAGACCGAAAGTTGTGGCGGCCGTCATTCTTGACGCGCGAGGCTTACGATGCTATGCCATTCCAGGCCATCCAAGGTCTAAAGCGCCAAGCATTCAAGGTTCTACCATTCTGGGCCATAGGCTAGACCATAAAAATTAAAAGAAGCCGAAAAGCGGTAGTAAATGATTGTCACCCACTTGCGTCCAAGCACGCAAGGCCTTCAAGGCTCTGTCATTCTAGGCCATATAATATTGGTATACTTTTCATCTATTACATTGCCAGCTTAGCGGCCGCAAGCCGCGCTAGTACGGCTGTAAATCCAAAGCGAAGCTGCAAGATAATTATCCTCAGCCTGTTTTTGTCCCTTTAAAATTGAAGTCATCCGATTCTAACAGGCCTGTCGATCCGAGACACGAAAATGTTGACCTTTTTGTTAGGGTCATTGAGGTTACTCGGCATTTTACTTCATTCGCCTGTTACATATATGTAAAGCCATGACCATAGGCCTAGTGCAAAGCCCTAGGTGAACACATGCGCGTGCCTTTCCGGATCCTTGGGAAACCGATGCAACGGAACATCTCCATCCATTTGGCCAAATTCATCCTGGCATGTTACGTAGGCGTAGTACTTGCATCCAGAGGCAGCCATATTTCACGCGACATTCCAATCCAATGATTCCATTGGTCAGTTCTGCTTAGTTCCGGGGCCAAAGACCAGGGCAGGAGGTTTCCCCGACATCAAAGGCGCCGGCAGAGAGTGGCCAGTCTTCTTAGTATAAGGTCTTTGGGTTGCTCGCCTGGCTTGCGGATGAGGATCTCTCTATCCGCCATCTTAGGGGACTGCAGAGTGCAGTCATAAGCCGCCAGGTGTCACTCTTAACATTTGCCCTTTTACCTTTACCTGTAATTAGTCCACTATTATGCTCTCCCGACCCGAATTCCTTTTCTTCATTACCGACACTCACATCTGCTGAGGGGCAATAGGGGCCCCACACTAATTTCATTCATCTGTCCCTCCCGTCCGTACATATGATGTAAAAGGGAGGACTGGACAATGCGAGAGAGCGCCTATATAGAAATATTTTCGTGTCATAGGTAAAAAAGAAAACGAACATGTGTATACGCCGACAGTTTGCGTATGGTATGCTCATGCTTGAGGGCTAAAGCTAATCCTACTCTTCCCTGCATCCTATGTTCCTCTTCAGCCCGGCCGATTTATCAACGGATAATTTTTCGGTCACGTATCTGATCTGCTGGAAAAGAAAAATAACCTTCTGAACTCCAACATCTCCGGTAGCAAATTTCCAATGAGCTGGAAAGTTAAGTTGATGATACTCTTAGTGTAACGATTCACGGAAATGCTGATATTTATGAAATAAGGTTCATTTTAATGAATAATCCAGTATTCTAAAAAATTTTAATTCCAAGATTGTAAAATTGTATATGAAATGTTCCACTATGTTACTCCGTAGGTTACTCCTATTCAAGAGTAACAAATTACACAATTTTGTTACTTTATTTTTCTCAGTAACATAGCTAAGAGTGTGTTTCTAACTGAAGCTTTTGGTTCCTTTTTGGAGTAACAAATCAGGTAACATTAGAGACTCATGCTTGTTGCCCTTAAAGTTACTCTAACCTTGAGGTAACAAAATTGGTGGCTTTCTTACTCCTATTCAGAGTAACTTTCGGGGTAACATCGGTAAGAGTGCGCCTTCGCCTGAGTCCACCATCGATGTTCATTTAGCAATGAACTCTTGCGGGCGTGACTATCCATTTATCCATTGATCCAAGCCTTGAATTATTTTTCAAAAATACATGACATGATATATACTCGAGCATCTTCCTTGTGAGGGAAATATGCTAAAATACACAATAACTAAGTTTAAGAGGTGGATACGACTATGGAAATCTAAGAACATCCACACATAAATGATTTTTAAGAATATTAAATCAAGAAAGAGTGAATAATTCCAAAAAAATGCAACTATTATCTCATGCATTGTCGCTTGCTGTTAATTCCTCAGGGTTCGCTTAAAAGGAAAAACAGGACCTTTCGAAATCGCAATAACGTGCATTCAGACTCGATGACCTGAGAGGCAAACGAGACCGAGATTGGGAGAACCACGACCAAGGTTTTATGAGAACTGACTTACGTTTTTCCCTCTTGCTGAGTAATCTGGACGAGGCAGATGCCCTCCGGTATAATTCATTACAGGTATCTAATGATCTTTCCCATGTGATCATTGCAACACTTGTTGAAAGCCCGTGTCCACACGGGTAGATAGGACTGCGAATTTCTTTTTTTTTCACAGGATGATGATTTCCAGAAGAAAAAAATGAATGGAGAAGCATCACGGTTAAAATCGTAAAATAACCCCAAGATTCAGCCCACGCCCAATATCTTCTTGACAGCTGATCTTACACAGAAGATGCCTGATTTGTTCTTTGCGTAATACGAAACCAAAGCCATTATTATAACTCATGTTGATGGATATATGTTCTTCCACTACTGAACTGATGCCAATATTGGTTATCACTGGGATATTACCCAAAATTAATCATTGAGGTAAAACGATTATTAATTACTTAACACTTTTTATTCTTTTGGACTTTCACTTGCATTAATTTTCACTTAAACGTTACGAGATTGCACTGTGCGGTCATCATACTTATCACTTCGTCATCCCACTAGAGATTCTTATCCCACTTTAGGCGACGTATGGTGAATATTGTGCTTCAGCTTCTTCGTTTAAGCAAAATGATCAGGAATCAGAATATTAAGCGAATCAAGGATGCAGAATATTAAAGACAGCGCGGGGAGGGACGTTTTTACGGAAAGTCGGATATTCGCTATCGCCTCCCCATCACTCGGATGAAGGCGCTTGGCGATTTTGACATTGGTAGATGAAAAACAAGTTAAAGCTTTCAAGAGAAGGATGCTTGGAGTAAAAATAAAGGCGATTTAGGGGTCGTGACTCTGTGGTTTAGCTGCATTTTCAGTTTTCCTCAATTCGTATGAACCACGGTATGATGTTAGTCGTTCATGTTTCTGAGACTGTGTCATCCTCACATTTCAATGGCTTATTTATTGTGGTTTTGATCACGCGTATTTACGTCGGTTATAAAAATCGCACCAAATACATGCACCAACATTTTATTCTTTTTTCGTTTTCGCGTTTCCCAGTCTGACTTTAAGGAAGTTTCACACTACTACCATCATTATGTCATCATTCTCTCAGCATTCTGCTATCAGTGTGTCATAACACTCGAGAGTAAGCGTAAACCCACTCGGAATTCCTCTTCTACTCCAGACACCCAGAGACTGGATTCATTTGTTTTGGAGCAATGATCCTAATAAGATTTACAAAATATTTCTAACGAGGCTTAGAAACAGAATGTTCAAACTTTGGAATCAACCAGCGCTAATAATTTTATTATATTTTCCCTTACTTTTGGTGATTAGCGAAAGTGCACCATCGCTATTTTCCTCTGATTTTTAAGCACGTTATTTCACAATTACAGGCAGATGAAGCCCAATGTCATCTGCGGTCACGTGAGCCTTGTACCATCGAAGACATTCCAGATTTTCCAGCGCTTGATCCGAAGAGACTTAGCGAAGAATTGGTGAGGATGTTGCCTGATCAGAGTCGGAAGCGTGAGGCTGAAAGGCTGGACATGCATGAGAATCAACAATTTATTCTCACTCTCTCGATTACGGCGTATGTTCATTTTTATATCCAAGCTGAATCCGCCCTCTACTCCCGTTTGTTGTGGCAAGGTGTGAAAAAATGAAAGAGTCATTCTCAATAATTGCACGTGCTTTTTGAAACGTATTGAAATGGGAAAAAAACACGGATTTGAACGACTTTCTTCAAATAGTGAACGAAGATCGCATAATTGGATCTTGGGTCCGTATTATCTATGAGAATGAACTACTGGAATTCGCACTGTCATCCAATCATTCAAATCGCACTCCAGTTCGTTGCCTCTGCTTCTGTAAATTGTACATTTCCCCAGAACTTATTGTCTCAGTAGGCGCGTTCATGTAAAGTTTCGATTTTCCATGTCTATCCGTCTGACCGAAGAAAATATATAGCTTTGAAAACATATCTCTGTAATTGTGTGACCCCAGGGCACGTCCCTTCAAAGTCGGATTTTTACTGAACCTTGCATTCCGATATTCACTAGTGTCCCAAGTTTCAGATTTCTCACTTATCTAGAACATGGAATTAGCGCCAGT